AACATTTCTTGATCGGTGTGAATTGGTTAATAATGTTTTATATTTTAGACGGGACATATGAATAGAGAAATGATAGTTACGTTGTGTTAACTTTGATCAACCAATACCTTTCTTAGGAGGAAGGCAGACACAGTTGACTGATCTGATCTTGTGTCTCTTCTTTTCTATTGAATAACATTTTGCAGTTTCCATCGAAAAGATGTTCCTGCAAATATTTAGGAAATTAAAAGTCATTAAACTTACAAACAATACCCGTTCTTAATACAAGCGCTCCATTGATTTTTATTTTTATCATAAATATAAGACCCCAATCTACTTTGTCTCTTATATTTATCTATTTTTCCCAATATAGTTTTTGTAATAATGGTAATTCTAGCCAATACACTTGATTAGTAAGGGTATTTTTAGCAAAGATAACATATATTTATTACAAATAATTAATTTAACTAAATTTCTTTATCTACTTAAATTAGTCAACTAGCTTTTATATTGAGCACCGGAGGTAGTATAAAATCAAGAAATAATTAACATCAAAACACATCTGGGATAATAATTGATGTAAAAAATCTCATATTGACCAATTCTACTTCCCAATTTCAATCAGTCTTTGTCAATCTGGGGATATTAATTAAATTTTTAAAAGCTACGTGGCATCTACTAATTAGAAAAAGCACATAAGTAAGGGAACCAGTTTCGGTGCTCATCCCTTTGATGAGTACCGTAAGCTCATCGGATCTGAATCGTCTATATCTGATTTGAACGGTTCAGATTTAAAATATTTAATTAACTATTTTTAAATAGAGAAAATTATTTTTTTGAAAGAATAATAGTTAAGAGATCATCACCATTTTAGATCCTATACATATTAAAATAATTATTTTAAATAAATAAAAATAAAAAAGAAATCAAATCTGAACCGTTCAAATCTGAACCGTCCATAAGTAAGCAACGATAAGAGTGTCGTGTGTTTTTTTTGGGGGAAGGAGGGGAGGACCTTTTTCATTTTTTTTTTCTATTAATTTTTACAGCACTACATATAATAATTAATTTTCTCGGGAAAAAAACGAACCACCTAAATATACGAAAAATCTTGTCAGACCAATACACACACACTCTTCTAAAATATTCATGCCCCATTTTAAGAGGGAAGAACAAAGGAAATATATCATCAACATTCAAAAATATTTAAAATTAATTTCTTTCATTGAAAGCATAACTTATTAACCATAAATTGTTTATTACAGTGATATCACGCAAATTAATACGTATTAAACAGACATGCATCATGTTATTATGTTATAATCAAATTTAATCTTTGATTAAATACTCTGCAAAATATCTTATCACTGAGTTTTAACTTTTCAACAATCAATTAATTTTCATCATATGGTTTAAAATTTTCTAGATATAGAAAAAATATTTAATTTGTCTATCTCTTACATTTTTAATTTGGATTATAATATATAAGTACAATTGTACAAAGATATCACAGAATGCAATTGGATAAATATTGAAGCTGTCTATAATACACATACTGAAATAGTCTTGTTACGCTCATGCTGGGTAAGACGTCAGGATGCATGAGGTTGAGCTTCAGGACAATTTTTTAATTATACAAAGCGTGATATTATTGAGGCTACTAATCATCGTTAAGCACATAATTAAAGAGACCTGACGTAACAAGGGTGTATAAATATAACTAAGTTACGTAGAAGAACTGGTCCTACGTATTATTAGGGTTCTTTGTATATAAATATAATTTCAGTTTCTTCCCAGCGACGTCACAGAAGCTATAGGACCTCAAGAAAAGAAAATGCAGAGTCACTACGTACAGTGCCACTGACGCAACATCAATTTTTTTTCCTTATCAACTTATAATAGGAAGTGTTCAAAGATTCGGTTTCGGATAAAAACAAAATCGAACCAAATTAATCAGTTCTAAAAATCTTGGGAACTACTCATTTTTAAAAAAAAAATCGGTTTGGTTTGGTTTTTTTTTTATCGGCTTAGATTGGTTTGTATCCCATTAAATGATTTTTTTAAAAAAAAGTACAAATTTTCTTTTCTAAAATTTCATTTTTACAGATGTACATACAGTTATGTTGTGTTTTCTCTATGTTATAATTTTGAATCAATATGTTCCAAATTTCCAATAACGTATATAACATTTAAATTAATAGATTTAATATTATTAAAATCACATATTTAATAAATTACTTTTACTAGTCTAATATTGTATTTTGTGTGCTAATTGATCTTATAGGGTCAGAGCGAAAAACTTTGGCTGGCTTTTAAAATAGGATTTGAAATAATATTCAAATATTTGAAATAGTATTTAATTTTTTTTCAGAAAAAAGCCTAATTAAATCCATCAAGTTTGGTTTGATTTGGTTTAGGTCTAAAGAGATGGATTGAAAACCGAAACCCGAACCAAATCAATCCATTTGACAAAGTTAAATGCTAAACCAAGATTTATTTCAGGTCAGTTTTGAAGGTTTTATCATTCATGTTGGTTTGGTTCAATTCGATTCGGTTCAAAATAGATTTGGCTGAGCTTAAAAGTAGGGTAGTGACTTATAGGGATAAAAGACGAAAAATAAATAATAAATAATTATACCGGGATAATTGAAATTGACCGTTGGAACAAGTCCAGCACTAAATTTCTCAACACAAAGGGCAAGTCATCAAGTGCTGAAAATTTAATAATTGTAGCCGCAATAATGTCTTAATTAGTTTTAATATTTCCGTTTTTGTGCAGTCAGTAAGCAAAGATTATTTACAACCTTTTCTACTTGACAGAACGTCTTGGAATTAAGGAAAAATAGTTTAGAAAAGAAAGAGTCATACCTTCCGTTATTACATATAATAATAAAATTATTTTGCAGGTATTTATACTTTTTTTTTAATTTTAATTTGGCATTTATATATTTTTCCTCTCTTGACCATATCTTTAAACTTTTTTCTGTGTTTTTTTTTTTTTTTGCCAACAAACATGTATTACTAAGTAGAACAGGTACAGGTACAAAGCTTCAACAAAGCTCCAAAACAAAACAAACACAGGCAACCCAAACCAGAACAAAGAAAGTAATTACAGAAATAAGGAAAATTGAAAACAACATGAGAACAAGCGGCGCAACATCCAACGACCATTGCTCCTGAAAAAAGGGTCGCAACACCCAATTTGACGGGTAAGGCCCCTTCATTGAAGCTTTAGCAACTCTAGCAGCTACTAAATATGCTTCTGTGGGAATCCACTCACGGGAATGATTCCTGAAAAAATTCCTTGAAGAGATAAAATCCTCAAGGAGGGGGACATAGCTCCAGCCCATAGATGAACAGTGATAATGGACACACTGAACAAGCAAGAGCCTATCCATAACAGAGAAGATGATCCATAAAAGGCCATCTGAAAACCAAAAATGAGAAACTCGAGCAACAAAGGAACCAGCCATACTCCCATCGGTAGGAGAAAAAAGGCAAACAACAAACACAAACCAATCATAACTTCTTTCATAATAGATCTCAATAGCCCTGCTATTTGAATTTAGGCCAACCATTCGAGTTCTTCCCCGCCTTTTTGTCTTCCAAACCTCATAACCCAGGACTCCCAAAATCCTCATCACTGAAATCCTTTGCTCAAGGAAATTCAGAACCACCGTTAGAGCAACAGAGAATCCCCAATTCCTATTTTTCGTATCATACCTCACCACCATCCTTTTAACTGTATGGAGAGAAAGCAACCATCTTGAGCAAATCCGCAGCACCAAGACCCACGGAGGCACCCACCGGAGGTCTGCTTTGAAGACCTTCACCATAGAACTTGACTTGCAACCCTTATCTCGTCCATCCACCAAACCTCCTTGATCATCACCTTCAGAGGATGTGCACCCAAACGGCACACACGATGGCCACGCCGTTGGGACACGAGAATAGACCCTCATTGGAAGAGGAGAAGAGTCCCTCTGGAGAAGAGGGAGAGGCCGACGCCTGAGCAGCACCATAGCCGCAACTCGACGGAGCGAGAAACCCCAGGAGAGGGAGAGGAAAACCCTAGCAGAGGGAAGGGTGCAACTGATAATCTTTTTTGATAATTTTTGTTGGGATAAACTTTGTTCTTTGTTAGTCCATATAACTTTGCTCTGTTAACCTCTATTCGAATGTTAATAGTGCTAACAAAGCAAAATTAAGAGATTTAATCCAGAAAAAAATATAATTTACCAAATTATATATAATAAAAAAATAGGATAAGGTGCTTAAATACCTCAAAGTATTCATGAAGTAACACCCAACAGCTGAATTTTTTTTTTGGCTACTATAAGTCATGAAAATTTATTTTCGTAACAAAAATACCTGGTCGTTATTGTTAAATTTGACTGTTAAATTATGCAGTTTGATTAGTGTTTTTAATGGTCAAACTTGACTGCAGATAATAACTCAGAGCGGAAATATTACAAAACAAAACTTTGAGGATATATAAGAGTAAAAAAAAATTTCAAGTGCTGGATACTCATTTGTGTATACTTCCAGAGTAGTTAAACACTTTGTCACTGAAAAAAAAAATATAGATAACTACAAAATGGTTTTCCCTATATAACACAAATGAAAAATAAGAAAAGCCAATATTGGTGATTTAGCCATCGGATATACTCCTCCGGTCCTAATTATAAGACCCAATTGACTTATTTGAGGAGATTAAAGAAGTAAGTTAAGTTGGTTATTTATAATAAATAAGTGTTGTTATTCCTAAAATATCCTTGCTAATTAAGTATATTGGCTAAAACTATCATTATTAGAAGGATTATCTTGGAAAAAATGCATAAATATAAGAGAGAAAATGAATTGGGTCTTATAATTAGGACCAAATAAAAAGTCAAATTGGGTCTTATAATAAGGACCGGAGGAGTATACAGATTGTAAAGTCTGGTGCAAATCATCAGAGCTGGCAAACTCGATACGAAAGCTAACATGTATGAATACGAACATCTAAAGAGGAAAGGAACATTATTAATGGACAGTACGTACCAAAGGAAATTAATTACTTGATAAGAAGAAAATGAAATTAAACTAAGAATCCCATATCGGTCCAAATGCTGCAATCCCAGCTTTCTTGCAGGCATTCACAACGTCTCTGCTTCCTTCAGGATTGCTGGTGACGATGACCACCTGAGCATTACACCTCTTGGCTGTGATCACACTGAGTTCAGACACATTTGGCCTCCCAAGAACAGTAGTATCCTGAACTATCACCTTCTCTTTTGGATGCCCACTCATCATTCCCTTGATTTCCTCACCAAAGTTCTGTTCAATCCCCTTAGCCACCCACAACAAATTCACATCTGCTCTACATGGCTGCAACAGAAAGGAGAGGAACACGCAGATTCCTGAACCAGTGGCCACCAACAACACTCTCTCGTACAGGTTCACCAGATATGGCAGGCCTGCGAAGTGAACTTGCCGAACCCACAAGTGGCTTGGTGGGTTCGAGACAAGAGATCTTGTGAAGTCTCCAACTGCACCAGCAAGCATCATGTGGTCTTTCTTTCCGTCTGAGATTATCCCAAAGGCGTGCCATTCTGAGAGTGATGAAGGACTGATTCTTCCCAGTATTCCAGCTTTGATTCCTCCATTGAATTTGATGATCGATGCGTGGCCGGAAGCGGTGGAGATATTGACACGAACACGTTGAACTGTGAGCCATGGGATGATTATAATGATTGTGATGGCTACAGTAAACCAAAATTCTTGTGTTTTGATCAACCTAGACCCAAGTTGGCTTGTGTAGGATTTGGATTTCGGGTCATAGGAGATTGTGAGAATGATGAACGCCCAGAGAAGAAGAAGAGCGGTCCAGCCAGCAAAACGGTGAGTTCTTTCGAATACATTGTGATGGAGATGGCGAACCAGTGGGAATGCTGCCAGAGAAGAGAGGCAAAGAAGGCCAAGAATGGCCGACGCGACGCCTATGATCTCCGGTGAAGTGTTGTCTCTGTCTTTAAGAGTGAGAACCAAAGCATATACGAGCCAAGCAATAGAGGAAACACCACAGCCACTGTGTATGCCTCCGACGCTTTGCAAAATAGCAGTTGTGCTAGTTTTGAGAAGAAGAGGCACCCATGGCCTACCAAGGAGCTTCACTGAAAGCCAAAACACAACACGAAAGAAGGCCTCGCTTCGACATAGAACCAAAGCGAGTATGTTGGCAATAGAGAAAAGAGCAGCCCTATTTCTTGCATATGGGAAATGGCCTGTTGCTGCAAGAACCAGGCCAGTTATATTCAGGATCAAGCTAAGCACGAAAAGCCTCTTGTATACAGTGAAAAGCCCTTGATCTAGCAGTATGATGGACAGTCTCGATCCGCTCTTTCGTGCAGGCTTTGATGGTTGCACTTGTTCACGCTTGCTAGGAAGTGGGACCATGACAGGCTTCTGGTTCTCAAAGTCGTGGGCTTCTTCTGGGACATCTTCAAGAACAGTATCATCGTCGTCTTCTTCTTCTTCTGGTTCAAGGTCACAGAAATGGCTGCTGGGTTTGCTGACAGATCTTTGTATGGAGGAAGGGAACACTTTGGAAGAAGAAAAAGGCCAAAAGCGATTGCTTTTTTGTGGTTCTGGTTGAGCAGCTTTGGCTATGGCGAAAGGATCTGCATGAGGCTTGACCTCAAAGGCCACGCCTCTGCAACTTGAGAACCTTACAGGATTTTCCATGGATAGCAAAGAGGGAAAGCTATGAACTTGTAAGTTGAAATATGCAAACAAAGGTAGTACTGATCAGCTTTCAAGTTTGTGTTCTGTTCATGCAAATAAATGATTTATTTATAGGCGCACTGGCTCTTTTATCTTCCATATTTTAATTGCTTTGATTTGGTCAGCCTATATATTCTTCTTAGCACCTTTGGTATAACTAGTTGGCTATGGGAACTTGAAGACCATTTCAAAGTTTTTCTTTCTTTCTAATAAGACAACTTATCTTGATCTGGATAGAATATTCAATATTCCTCGTGAACCAGACTTTCTTCCAAATCATTTTCAGGGTGCACATATATATATATATATATCTGTGTGTGCGCGCTTCTTCCTTCATCATTTGGTCGTCTAATTCTTCATTTCATACTAAAATAATTTATTTTGATGTTATACTAAAGTTCATCTTGAACTCTCAATATAAAGATATGGGTAAAATATTATATATCTTCTTAATTTTGGTACACAACACAGAAAAGTTTATGATAATTATCAATACATTTAATTAGAAGTTTAATGATATTATTTTACCAAAAAAAAAAGTGTGAGAGGTGATATTTGTTGTCTTTAACCATGAATGCCTTATTAGTAAAATAATAAACTAATAACCTAGAGGATTTTATATAAAAATTGAAACTTTCTAGGGGTTTCACTATCATATTCTAAACGTTTATTTATTTCAGGAGAATTTATGTTCAATTTAAGTTTGAATGTATAGATAAAATTACTATCAACATAAATATAATTAATATAAATGGTAAAAATTCATATGGATCCATACTGTTCACAAACCATGACAAGTTTAATTAACTCCAGGTGGGCCTGGCATATTAGTTGGTCGGATTCCATGTAACTATAGACCAAACTAAGTTTTTTCTTCGACTTCCTAAATTTCATATTAGTCGAGTCATAAATTCCATCAATTCATTTTTTTAAAATTAAATTAATCTTTTTAAATGATGGTGCTAAAAGAAGGTTGGACAACCAAGTGGAAAATCAAAAAAGGAGGAAGTGAACAGTTTAGAAGAAACGGCATTCAACAATCACAATATATATTTAATAACTTGAAAAACATAACGAAGTAACTAAACAACTGTTATAAATTATTCGAACTTTTATACACGTCACAAAAATTATCAAAAATAATAAGATATATCATGCATGACCGTAAGCAAATTACGGTGTTGAGAAACATCAATAAAGTTTTGGCAAGAATAAACCTCTTTATGTGTATAAAACAAAAGAATAAATTAAACCTGTTTATAACATGCGGCTAAGGCCGGAAGATGAACATTATGAGATACTGCACTTTGATATGAATTACTCCCTCCATTTTAAATGTAAAAGTTAATTGTCCATCTCCTTACAGCTCAGTAGCATAAAAGCTCTATGTAGGAAGACGCAATTTCAATCCTACTTGTAATCTCATTCGCCTCTTTAATTAAAAGAAAACAAGCTAGTTGAGTAGTTTGTTTTGGTCCTATATACAAGACTCGAATATATATTTTTCTCCAAATTATCTCTATTAATTCACCATATCAAAGGGGTTCTGTTAATAAAACGATTTCCAGTACAGATAATTAAAGGGGTACTTTAACCCTATGTTTTGTGTGAGAAAAATGGAGGGGAGGAAAAATTTTAATGGGTTTTATTTAAAAAAATAGAAAAATAAGGTTATAATATTTTAATAAAGAGAATATATAAAATAAAATAATTTAAAAAACGTTAATTTATCCAACTCATTAAACAATAAGCTAAGATAAAGACGAAGTCAATACGGTGAGTCAGGCTTGAATTGCAATCCATGATACTTTCTGAATAGAGAGACTTGGGAGACACCCAGACACTTTTACTGATGGAATAAAAATATTCTTTCCATGTAGTAAATAATCTCTAGAGACATAATTTCTTTTTGGTGAGTAGAATTTATTACCACTGTGATGATTCTTAGACGTCATTGAATTTGTCGTCTCATGGAGAAATAACATTATAAATATATATATGAGGAAATGTTCAAATCTCAAAGTCAACACATCTATATAGTTGATAACGAAATGAAAAATTATTTGTTTTGATTTTGGCTGAGTCTTTGGCCAAAAGAATGTATAGTCGTTCGTCATCACTCCGTTTACCACGTAAATACAGATAAAGAAAAATACACCAGTCATGCGTAACAATAAGTGAAAACTACTCCCATAAAATCATATTTCAGGTTTTATTTATTTATTTTAGACAAAATACAGTAATTTAATAGGTAGCTGGGCAATTAGTTAGCGTTTATCGTTATTGTGAAGCGTTAACATAATTAAGTTTTAAACTTGAGCGTCTGTTCAAATGGTATACCATGAGTGGCTATTAAAGTTTTATATTTAAGCCGGCTCATTAATAATATGCATTTAAATTGGACTACAAATGTTGGCCAAAAAAAAAAATGGACTATAAATATTTAAATCTCGATATAATTATTACTACTAGAAAACACCTTTTTACACTACCCAATCTATCCCGATTATTGTGCCAATGATGTAATAACTGATGCGGTGGTATTTTTGTAAAAAAATGATACAATTGTTAATTCAATTATTCTTACACCTGGAGTCATTATTACTTTTTACATCAAACGTTAACACAACCGGCATAAACATACTTAAATGACAATAGTAATTATGAAAAATTGGTTTAATTTTACTAATATTTACATTAGCCTATCTCTTACATTTTCGTTCTCTTGAAATAATCTAAACTCAAATAGTCACTATGTCCCGTCACTGTCTATTTAAGGTCAGAAGCCAACTCTCCTTATCCATCGTCTTTGTCTACTTTGCGGGCAGCCCCACAATGGTGAAACTGCAAAAACCATCCACATGCATCCTTCATCATCCCTCTTCCCCCTCCCTACCATCTCTCCCCCTCCCTCGCCTCCCCCGTCTTTGCCTCCTTTCAAACCAACTACTTACAAGAGTAGCGGTGATTAATCACTACCTTTGTCATGTAGTGTCTCACTTTCTACGACCTCGACAGCAACTCAACCTGCTATTCATGATAGGCAAATAGAGTATGATGACATGGATGACCCCTCTACTAACTTGCTTCCCCTCGTTGTCTGATGAAGAAGCCTCCTCCTCCTTTGGCTATTAGTTTTTTCAATTTAAAAAATGCAGTTTTTTTTTTCAAACAATTTTGTAAAGGAAGCTCCATATGCCCCATTGATTATATATAAATATATATATATGATATTTTGTGATGAGCTACCGTTGTTTATATTCCTTTTAATGCATTTTTCTCCTCTTGGTCAATAACAACAAACCACCCTAAAACTAGGGTGGAAAACATTCCTAGTTTTAAAAAAGGAAAAATAAAACTAGTATGGTGGTTATTTTTTGGGAGTGTTTGTGCCGGGGTGTTGTCAGTTTTGATGTAACATTTAAAATTAACATCGGTTATCTAGTGTTCGATGTAAAATGAGCTTTCAACACCAAGTTCCATGTCAATCACGTTCAGCTTTTGCCCAGCTATGAATAAGGCTCGCCCGCCTTAATTTTGTGGTCTCAAAACATGGAGAGGCGTGTTCTCACCTCTAGAGCTGTGTGGAGATGGCATCGAGCGCTAAGTCATCTTTGATTCCATCCATTGCCTCCACTATTCTATTCTCACTGTAGTTAACATCGTTACGTTCATTTCATTTCTCCCCTAAGCTATTCTTTTTGTTTGAGATTAGCTTTGAATGTCTATCCATTAATCTGTTAAATAGGATGAAGAAACTTACCAAGTATCTAGTCATTCAAGTATGAACAGATTCAAGTTGTATTACATTGAATGACCAAGTATTTGTCAGAGATCTAGATCATCTTTACAAAAGGAACTGGCCTTCGTTTCCTTTCTCCCCATTGACCACCGATAACTCATCTTCCTACGTTTATTTCCTCCTTCATGAGATATTTTCTAAGCCCTAATACTAGTTAGTTGCTAA